CACTCACACACCTCTGGCCTGTACCCCAGTTCTTTTATGCATAAATAAATAGATCTTAAAAAAAAAAAAAAACAAAGGGGAAAATGGTCTTCTAAGTAAGTAGTCCTGAGATAATGAACTGGGTATCCACAACAAATCCCAATCAATATACTAAATAAATCAGAGACCAAAATAGCAAAGCTAAAACTAAAAAATTCTTAGAAAAAAATGAAAGGTGTTAATCTTTGTTGTCTTTGAGTATAGGCAATGGTTTCTTGAATGTGACACCAAACCCATAAGTAACAAAAGATGATAAATGGGCATCATTAAAATTTAAAAATTTTGTGCTTAAAAAGTCACTATCAGAAAGTGAAAAACCACAGAACATAAGAAAACATTTGCAAATCATATATCTGATTTATTTCTACAATAAAGGACACTTACAACTCAACCATAAAAACAAGTCAGTATTAAAATGGGAAAGGACTTGAACAGACGTATCTCCAAAGATATCAAAATGGCCAGCAAGCATATAAAGAGATGGCCATCCATCACCATCAGGGCAAAGCAAATCAAAAACACAGTAAGAGGGCCTCGCCGGTGGCACAGCGGTTGAGTGCTGGGCTGTGAAGCTGCCCGCAGCCTCTGCAGCGCTGGTTCGATCCCCGGCTGCTCCCTGGCCACTGGAGGAGGGTCCCACATGGCGCGCACACCTCTCCTGCCGCCCGCTGCTCCCCTTAGCAATGTACTTCAGTCCTTCTGCCTGCTCTGCTCCCCGCTCTGGCTCTGGTGAATTCTCTCACCCTCCCATGCTTCTGACTATACCCAGTGCTTGTATAAATAAATAAATAAATCTTTAAAAAAAAAAAAACCAAACACACAGTAAGATACCACTTTACACCTACTAGCATGACTATCATCAGAAAAAAAGATAGTAACAAGTATTACCAAGTCTGTGAAAAAACAAACTCACACTACTCGTAGAAAGGCAAAATGACTCAGTTACTTCAGAAAAGTCTGGCAGATCCCCAAGATGTTAAATATAGTTTTGATATGACTCAGCAATTCTACTCTAGGTATATACCCAGGAGAAATGACAACAAATGTCCACATGAAGAAAGCTGTGCGTAAATGTTTCCAGCAACATTATTCATAATAGTCAAAATGTGAAGATAAGCTAAATATCCATCAACTATTAAATGGATAAATAAAATATAGTATATCCATGAAGTTAAATGTTATTCAGCGACAAAAAGAAATACTGTACTGATGCACACCACAACATGGATGAACCTTGAAAACATGCTTTGTGAAAGAAGCCAGTCACAAAAAAACAACATATTGCATTATTCCATTTATGTGAAAGGTCCAGAAGAAGTAAATCTAGAGACAGACAGCAGGCTGCCTAGGGGTGGGGAGTAGGAGAGATGGGAGGAAATGGAAAAGGGTTGACCGCTAAAAAGTGTGCAGTGAATCTTTTCGGGAGTGATCAAACTGTAGACTGTGAGAGTTAACACAACTTCGAGAATATGCCAAAAGCTACTTAATTTTACACTTTAAATTACATCTCAATAAAGCTCTTTAATTTCCTAAAGCAAAACAGAGTTCAGGTTCACTAAGGAGATCACTGAAATAACATAGCACAAAAAGTGAAAACTGTTAGTATAACTGATCTACACCTTTTTCTAAATATTTCCTCCTTTTACTCACTAAATTACTAGATCAAGAATAAAATTCAAATGAATCCTTTTACCATAGATTCTGCTATCAAAAAGCAGTAATAAATTCTGTCATTCCATGCTCATAAAAGTAATACAAACTTGGGTCGTATCAGATCATAATAGAACTTGAGCTTAGTTTCTCTGCAATAGAAAGGAACAAACTGTCCTTTGCATGACAGAAATCTTAACTTCAATCAGAAGATTTTTCTAGTTAGCTGCCAGTTTCCCACTAGCACATTCAAAGACTTAAAAGAATGCACTAGTACATTCAAAGACTTAAGATCTGTGCTTTTGACAACTGTGAAGAATCCTGAAAATCACAACAGAGTCATTTATATGGGCCAGAAGTTCACATATTAAGGATATAGCATGAATTTTACCCACTCCACCTAGCTAAGCTGGCTGTGCAAGACACTAAAGGTTGTGAGCAATTATAGCCAACAGTCCAGCACCTGCAACTCAGCTGGCAGCATAAAAACATTCATGTATCTGCAAAGGCCTAAGGATACAGCCCTTGCAAAAGTCATGGGTCAGTTCTGCTAATCATTGAGCAGTGGCCAAGCAAAATATATTCTACTGTTTTTAGGAAATACTCTATATAACCAAATTTCACTCAAATTATGTATAATTTTCTGTGCCTATGGCCTTCATATACCCTGTGATTTTATGAACAGAAACTTTTTTCTTGCATTTATTGTAAAGTTTTGTTTTTAAACACTAACTCTTGTGACCTAGTATTAAAAAAACTAAATATAACTTAAAGTTTATTCAAATATATTCAAATACAATTTAGGCTTATTCAAAACCTGAAAAAAAATTAAACAATTACTGTAGTTTCCTCTAAAACAGTCTTAAACATATCCATCTACTCTGAATGATTTAATTCAGAGAGACTTTATATCCCCCAACATGCTCAAATGACAGACTTGCAGTATTCTACTTCCTTTAATATGATTCAAACGTTGCTTAATTGGCCATCATATAAGAGATGCACCAAAATCTAGAAGTGCCATCTCTAACCGGAAAAACACATAGAACTTGGCTGTATCAGTTTGTTAAGATTCCAGAAAATAAGGATAAACCATACATTTAGTGGAATGTGACACTCTCCCACCCCCACCCAGACAACCAATAGATAAAATCCACTCTGGTTGCCTAAACTGGTAAACCCACAGATCTTTCCTCACACATAATCTCTGGTTACCAGGGACAGTGAGTTAACAACTCCTGAATAATCAAAATGCAGAGTTTTGAGAGACACATGGGCCAGAAAGGGTAATACACAAAGGGAATAGAACTCTTTTGACTCCTTCTAATAAACAGATAACTTTATTTACTATATTGCTATAAATCAATTCATTATAGTCATTAAGACACACATGAAGGCAGCATGGAACTTCTAAAAGTCGACCACAAAAGCACTGTGAACTCTGTGCCAAAAAATTAGGCAAACTAAAATTATCCCTAACTTCTTTTCTGATGATAGTTAAGTGTATAAATCAACTGAAATACAGATGAGCAACCTTACTATAAAACAATCAAATATTTCACACCAAGCAATCCAAAGACCACAGTATCCATTTAAAACTCACACTGAACACTTACATTAAGTATTCAGTATACCAAGTAAAATCTAAATCTAAATCACCATTTCCCAGTAAGCCAAGGCACAGAGATTCCTTTGCTTGCTAAACAGAAGCACCATGTACATGAAGGAGAACATGATCTTTATCTCTTCCTGATCCAGCACAATCAACTATTTTGGGGTCGATGAAAGGAATCAAAGTCATGGCAATGCAGAAGCCAAATGCCAGAAGAGTATAAGTCAAGTTCACACACTTACCAATTCAGATGTTTGTAAAAAAGTTACCAAAATAATAAATGTGATGAGATATTTAAAAAAAAACATTCAGACCATTAAAACAAATACTACAAAACAAGGAATTACAGATCTAGTTCAAATTGGAGTTTTTACACAAATCAATCCATTTACATGAACTGGCCACCAAATCTAAACAACGATATGTCATCTGAAACACCTCTGAGGTAAAACAGCCTTAAGTGTGACTAAAAGTCTTACTTTTAAACAGTTTTACCTAGCAAAGAAATATCTGTTCCATTTGTGTGAAACATTCTTTGAATGTTATTATTGCAAGTTTATATGTTATATGTGACTCTCATGTGAAGCTCCACATTATATTTGAATGAACATTATATTTGAAGCCTTACTAGAATTTTTCCTATACAAAATAGTTATTAGCCAACTATCAATATAACCAATGCAAATGTTTCACTTTAAGCAATATCTATAGTTATCTTTGTTTCACATAAAAATAAGAGCAGTAAAATCAGAAACAATACCAAACAAATTCTAATACACCAACATTTTCTTTTATGGGACCCTCGCCAGTGGCCGGGGATTGAACTGGCGCTGCAGCGGCTGTGGGCAGCCTCGCAATCCAGCTCTCAACTGTTGCACCACCAGGGGAAGCCCCCAACATTTTCTCTTGATCTGGCTTCTCACGTTCCATAAGACAACCAATTTAAATTACAAAAACTCTACGTTGGCCTGGCCTGGTTCCAACAATGACCTCGTATCAAAACAGAAATGTCTTAAAATAGTCAAACAGGCATCTTCCCACTACAGCAATAGATCCAAGAAACAGTATAAGGTAAAAGGTTGTTTTTTTCCCTTTTCCTCTACGTATCTATGTATCATTAATCACCTCCATGCAAGCACTTTTACTTCCTGACAGTAAACTCTGATCAGAAAATTAAGAACATGTAGTCATGCTGGAGGGTGTTTTAAATTTAACATCATGCCTCCAATCACCATTCTTACTTAGTCACAACCAATAAGCAATAATTGAAACCATGAAGAAACACTGTTTAATGTTACAGCACTTTTAAAAATCAATTTCCAACAAGATAACAATTGAGTAATTATCAAATAGCAAATATGTTGGCCACACTACTATTCTATCATTAAAGAAATAACTTAAGGCCTCAACACCTCTTCCACTGAAAGATAATTGTACTTGTTATCCTATAATTTCATTATCTTGTTATTGTATTACTCTATTTTTATCAACGCTACTCTCCCACTGCAAACATACTGCTGAAAATTCCACTTCTGCAGAGAGACAACCAACACCACCATCTTCCACAGCCTTTCAACTCCAAGCCACAAAGATGTTTTTGTTAATTAATCAGACTACAACAACAGATACACACCAGATGAAGAGTTTAAATACACCTTCTACAAAAGATCCAAGTAAATAAAAATCCATAAGTACTTACCTACAGTTGGGAGGAGGGTCCAATGTAATCTCTGCAAGTTCCTTCTGAATTCTTTAAAATAAAGACAAAGAGCTATGTTAAAATGTCTCCATTAACATTTCATTCAAATGTTATATACTCTAACACTAATTTTTCCATTTGTATGTTTTTAATTTGAAATACTAATATTGCACAAATCATCACATACTATAATAAAAAACAGTGACTTCTGCCACCATTTTGACTATGCAACAAATAAAAGGAAATAAGACTGGCCACTATTAGTGCATGCAGCCAGTGGAAGCAACACTATGACTTAAACTTTTAAATCACTGGTAACAGTAAACTACAAAGTTAGTGGTTTAAATTAGAAACTTTTGTCACTATTCACGAATCATTCTCACTTCTGATTTCAACTAGAACAGCCCCATTTAGAACAAAAAGATGGTTGAGCCAGTCAACTAATGAGGAAAGTTTACTAGGTTATCATTTGAACACCTGAAACTGCTATTAAAATATATATGACTGGATCAAGAAGATGTGGCATACATACACAATGGAATACTAATCAGCAATCAAAAAAGATAAACTAATACCATTTGCCGCAACATGGATGGAGCTGGAAAGGATTATGCTCAGTGAAACAAGTCAGAAGGAAAAGGAATAAATGAACAATGATGTAAAACAATACATATAAAAATTTTTTTTTTTTAATGCAGATGATATTCCTCCCGGAGGTCTCTAGGTTGGGGCAAATTGAGACTTTAAAGTTTTACACTATTCCTTTTGCTAGAAAAGTCCAAATAATATGTGGTTAATTATTTCAATGTCATTGCTTGAACTTCAGGCACAAAGAAAAAAGAACTTTATTCTAAACCCTGCTTGTATCCTCATGTATTATTTTCAACTATGAATTTTAACTGTACCTAAGCCCCTACATACACATAGTAAGGCTAACAGTGCTACACAGGTTTTTAAGGCTATACTTAAAAACAATCTCTTAGCTATCATTCATGCCTTATTAAATGTAGATTTTGTTTAAACCAAGCACAAAAAAATATTCTCCAAACCATTTATTCTCCTAGTTTTCAAATGATATTCATTAATAGCTAGATATCTGCTGTCTGGTAATTACTGTGATAATACATGGATGATAGTTGACTAAAATACCTTAAATACAAGAATATGAACAAAAGCGTTTACTCTTTAATTTCATTCTACAATTTTTTCAAGACAACTAATAGCAAATCAGAATAAATGCAACTCCTTCAAGAGGACTAGCATTGACTTCCTAAAGGATGTGCAAGGTATTAACTTAATTTTCAAGTCTCCAAACCATCTGACTCAAGATGGGGGAGGTAATATGAAGTCCAGCAAGACTAATAAATTCAAAATCAAATAAACATTCATTTGAATTCTGCTATGTCATTAATTGAGAATTTTCAGACAAGAGGACGGCTCACACCTGCTCCTGCTCCTTTGCTCTCTCCGCCTGTTTTCTGTCCAATTAAATGAAGAGGTCAACCGAGACCAACTTCATGATCTTTTTGTCTTTAAAACACTATTTCTGGGACTCCCCGGTGGCGCAGCGGTTGAGCGCTGGGTTGCGAAGCTGCCCGCGGCCTCTGCGGCGACGGTTCGATCCCCGGCTGCTCCCCGGCCACCGGAGGAGGATCCCACATGGTGCGCAGACCTCTCCTGCCGCCCGCTGCTCCCCTCAGCAGTGTACTTCAGTCCTTCTGCCTGCTCTGCTCCCCGCTCTGGCTCTGGTGAATTCTCTCACCCTCCCGCGCTTCTGACTGTACCCAGTGCATGTATAAACAAAACAAACAAACAAATATAATAAATAAATAAAAACATGCCTCTATAAAAAAAAATAAATAAATAAATAAAACACTATTTCTTTATAATCCATAAATGTATTCAAATGTCTTTGATATATTCAAATACATATGAAGTACACATGGCCCATAATTAAACCAGAGAAGTCTCAAAGATCTAAGAAAATCCTTTATGGATTTCATACAAACTATAGTCCTTCAAAAATAAGGTGCTTTAAAACTAAATGGTAAGTCCAGGTTAAAGGTGGAAAGCTGAGTGCACACATATCACCTCCCACTCCTTCAGGATCCCACATGGTATGAGTGGAGTAGTGGACAGAGAAAGTACAAAAAGGAATAAAATACCAGTGAGGAGGATGGTCACCAATAGATGAGAAATTTCAGTGTATTTCTAGAAGTCAAATGGATGAGTGTAAATCAAACAGGTTGAGATGGGCAAGAGGGGGACTGCAGAACGTAAAAGAGTATAATAAAACACATTATTGGTGGGGGAAGGGAAGACAATCAGAAAGACATAAAAAAGGGGCGGAAAAAAAAACCTGTGGAAGAAAACCATAAATCAAATATTAAGGAAACTAAATGTAAAATAATTTTAATCAAGTAAAAGATGCCAAGGGTTTGAAAAGAGAGACCTGATCTATTTTGTCAAATGTTATGACTCGTTGGGTAGCCCAAAGATCATGACATTGACTAGCAGGAAACCTAATCTTTGACATCCTGTTTGGTCTGACACTGAACATTTAGCTATAGTAAATATACAATCTCCTGATCATTTACTTAACAGATAAAGCACAGAAAATGGGTCATAGCTGCACTATACAATATAAATGCTACTAACCCTGAAGATGTACAATTTAAGGTAGCTATTACCAGCTAAAAGTGGATGAGGAATGGGTGCAAAAAGGTGGAAAGAAAAATAAAGGCATACCTTTACAAAATAAGAAATAAAGAAATATTGTTGAAATTTGAAGGAATAACCAAATGACAACTTTAAAATACAACCAATATTCTTTTTAAAAATATATAACTATCATTATCTGAGAGGAGGGAAAAGGGAGAAAAAAACAAATAAGCAAGCTACAACTTCGTATTTCATAGCAAGGAATCAACAGATAATATTTAACTTAACAGTCAACAAACAGATAAAAATAAATAATTCAGATTTATACAGAAAACCAACAGATGGACTAAAAAGCAGGGTTCCTAGTAGAGTTTGCTTCAAGAGAATGGGATTGGAATCAGAGGTTCTTTGGACAGAAAAAAAAACTATTGCTGTCCTTAAAATGTCTCTGTACTATTACCAGAAATATGAATCGCATTATAAACTGTTTTTAAATTACAGGACCAAAAGAATAAGTGTACAAAAGCATATGCTTAAACAGTTTAAAAAAAAAAAAAAACTTTTTAAATATAAAAGAATTTCTTTGGGATTTTCAAATAACCCATCTTGCTTATGCTTACATTGTACCTTTTGATTTAAAAAATTAAGAAATCATAATTTCATGTCACATAATTCTATAATAGAACTTGAGGCCCTCTGGATGTCTATAATTCCAAATCTAATTAATCAATACAAAAAGCAATTTACTGAAAAACCTTGACAACTCGGAGCAGTGAGTCAATATATTATCATATATTTTGAGACACTGTTACCTAAGAATGGCTGTATTTCTCTTGACAGAAAAGATTATACTAAGAATTGCTTTTTAAAGGGCTGCAACATGTCCTGCTGTTTTCAATGACAGCAATTCAATTCTATCTCAAAAGTTGTGATCACGGTATGTATTAAGCTTCTCAGTCTTGACGTGTAGGATAAGGAAGTACCTATTTCAGGCAATGTTCCTTAGGTGAGGAAAATCAAAAAGTATCAATAATGTCCACATGATGATCTTAGGCTATTAAAAGTGAATTAAATAAATCTCACATAATTCTCCAAGTATTATTGTTTTATCAGTTCCCATTTAAACTAAAGGAAACTAAAGCAAGTTATTGTACACTGGTAACATGAGAGACAGGCAAATACCTAAAGTTGAACAAACAAAAAGATGTCTCTCATCAGAACTTTTAAGAAAAAAGTATTTCTTTAGATATAAATCAACTAGACAATTACCTAAATTTCCAATTTCCATCTAGCAGTGCCACTTCTCAGGTTGTTATGATAGAGAAGTCAACAACTGCACACAGTAACTAAGACAAGTTTGAAGCAAAATAGTCTAAATTTCAGTTTGTATGACTTCACCTAACACCTCAACTGTTACAGGAATGCTGCGTACAAGTGACTGTCATTTACTAAAAACAAAAAGGGATGGGGAGAATCATAACATTCATGATTGATTCAGACTTAAAGAATATGGTACCAAAATTATACAATATGAAGAAGATACAAAGTACTCATTTTACTATCAAGATAGTGATGGTTCAGAAAAATGAAGTCATGTATATGTATTTAAAACACAGAAACATATTTTAGATTACAGCAAATTCCCCAATTCACTCCAGCCCAGGCAGAACATGACTATACGGGCATGAAGATTCACAACAGTGATTTCTTAGAAATTATTTCAAATCTTAAGGACCTTTCATCCCACCTAGATGACTTTCTATAGACCTCTAGGGACTGAGAACTCCTATTCTAACCAACTGAACCAACTCGTCAAAATGGAGTTATTCTCAAGTGGAAAACATCATGAACAAATTACTATAAATTTTTAAATATCAGTGTAGTCTCTAAATTAATCTAGAATACACAGAACCACTGCAAATAAGCCTTGAGTTTAATTCTGAATGGTGACATATACCATGTATCTGTGATTTTAAGAGACAGACCACTGATTTTTAAGGCAATCAATTAAATTTTTAAAGCAATCAATTATATAATCAACTGTAAGATGCACGCTGCTTTTAGGAACATTAACAAGTTTTAAAATCTACATTTAGAATCAAGAAAATACTGTTATTACAAAAGATCATCTATCAGTGCTATTTCATTCTCATCTGGAAAACAAATTGAGATGAGCCCACATTATGAAAGTTCACATTGGAATACACTGGAATCAACCTTTCAACCTGACCAAAACAAAAAAACAAATATCATTCCAGGAATAGTATTATATTTAATGTCCAATAAAATCACAATATCTACTCTGAACAAAGTTAATTTAGAATGTTATTTAAAATCCAGGTTTACAGATGCGTCAATACATGAAAGCAGTATAGCAAATTCAATAAAGAACTCAAAATCGATGTTTTATTGAACTAGTCAATTTAATAAAACCATCAAAATTTGTCTTTACAGATATAGTCCAACTGCAAACTTGCAAATATAATAAGAGAAAAATACATTGTCATGAAAACAGAATGTGTTAAGAGAGCACGCCAATTTTTTAAGAAATAATTCTTGCCAAAGATGAGCAATTATGCAAAGCTTTAACTATAATCTTCCTCTTAACTCTAAAAAGACAGAATTTATATAATTGTTTAAATAAAATACTTGCGTAAATGTTTTCTGTCATATATCACTTTTCTAAAATATCTAAAACTGACATTTTTTCAAAAAAATATATTTCTATACCAAATTATTAACTGTACAATTACAGCATATTTCATACAGTTGAGACATATGTGTAAAGCACTTTACTTGAGCAACTATAAGATATATACAACTACAGCATCAATAGTAAATAATAAAGTTAGAATTCTATTTTAAAACTACCTTGACCTTTGAAACTTCAGAATACTGAAATACTGACATTCTAATACCCATGGAAAATTCAATCACCATAATAAACTCAAGGTTTTAAGGCAAACAGCAAAAACATATGTTGTGATCTGACTATGCTAGACACATGGATATAATGGTGAATAAAATAGATGTGTTCCTGTCCTCATGATTCCCAATTATTTCCTCAGTTCTTAGAACTTAAGCAGAAATGGGAAGAATTAAACTTTTTACTTTAAAAAATTAGTGAATCAGCACTTTTATACTTAAAGGAGATAGTAAATGATTGACTCCAGTTACCCATAAAGCACTCAGAGATGACCTAGAGGATTCAAATTGAATCGCAATTTGAAAAGTTCATATTCACAGAATGAATTTGCCAATGGAGGGATTCTTTCAGCTAGGAAGCAACTCAAAAGATACTTCCTACTTCTACCAAACAAATAATACCAATTTATATCAAATGCCAAACAGGCACTGTCCTGAAATCTACACCACACACAATCTCAAAACTCGGTTTTATTGCTATTAAAAAAAGGGGTCAACAGGAAAACTAGGTTTGAATATATAATCTATACTTCATACAAACTGTAGTGAGATCAAGTAAAACATGACCCACATACTTGAAAAGTTCATGTAATTCTCACTTGGGAACATTGTACAGTTCATTCTCATAAGCAGAATTTCAAGAAAGATGAATTTGAGGCACTTTATGGTACTGTGCTCCCAGCTGGAGGAAAATGCAAGGCCTCACAAAGGCAGACAGGAGTCTATGCTAACAGTCAGTCATAGGACAGCATAGCACACACCACACAGAATCACTGTTCAGACTTCAGTCCCCACAGATCTGGCCAGTCCATTCTCTCCCTTTTCTGACAAGTTGTAGAGGCCCCATGAAAAGCGTTACCACAAAAGCTGAGGACTGAACTAGAGTTTCCTTATTCACATGGAGCCACAATGTGTACTGGAACATCTCTTAGCTACCTACCCCCAACTTCCTTTCAATAAAATGTCCTATTTTCTCCATTCCTGCCTTTCTCATCCATCCTAATGCTAGTCCCATTTCCCAGCAACAGGTCATTTTGTATTGGGGCCAGGAAACAGACTATTCAGCCAGGTGAGATCCCCTGGACTTGTAGTGGGATAGCAAAAACAAAATGAACCCTTTTCCCCACCCACTAACATGGTTTAACATAGAGTTTTAAAGAAGGAAGCTATCTGATTTTCACACAACTCCTTCAACAGAGTCAAGGATCAGCAAAATATTCTTGAGGGGGAAATTTATTAACCTAGTCCCTTAGAATGGGTTGCTGACAACTCACCATCACTCCAACATCTCTCCCTAGAGTCATATGCCACCAGGGGCCTCAGATGGTTCATCCCAATCTGGTGGATTAACTACACCAGATGGAAACAAGGTCTCCTAGACAGTAATGACTCTTGAGCTTTGGGAAAGAAGATTCCCTCATACAAACTATCCAATAAAATAGAAAGCCAACATTCAACATGCAGGCATTCCACCATGCCTAACATTTCAGACAACTTATATTTGTATTTCCTATTTGATACTAAGCAAAATTTTAAAAAATAATGTAAAATCACACAAAAAGGAAGACTACTAAATGTAATTTACCTTTAAATTATTTTCTAACAGTCTAGAATATATCAATAACATGAAAGTAGATTTCCTCTGCTGAGTTCAGTGACATACCAATGTTACTGAGAGTGGTAACAGAGAGTCATGCAAATATCTACCTTCCAGATACAACTATTTGCTAGGAAAAAAGAAAATCTGTATAAAACTGAACCACTGCTTAATATAATGAAAACATGATGTATTTGTTGCTAACTCTAGTATTTCTCACTTTACAAACACTATCATTCAATTAACTACTTCAACAGATTTCTATTCTATTGTGTTATTTAACCGAATAAGTATTTATGGTCAAGTAACCAGAAAGCAAACTATCACACCTTTATATGCATTTTCCTAACAAATATGCTCACCTAACAAATACATATATGCTCACCTAACAAATACATAAACGTTATAGAGATGTATTTACAAATCGGCCACATTGTTTAACTATCCTAAATATCAAATAATTCAGATTGCCTACAATTAAAGCATGTAAAAGAAAAGAGCAATGAAGAAAAATCCATAAACTTCATGATCCACATTCCAGAAAGATGATTAAATGCAACTAAAAGATAGAACTTAAGATGATAAATTGATACTAAAAATAAAAGTGTTACAATAATTGAGGTACCTTTTAGCACTAGTTGACAATTTAGCAGCTGTTTTGCTGGATATTTTTCCCTCTTTTTTCTTGGGCTGAACTTGCTCTCTTTCTGGTTCTTGCTGAACACTTTCACGCTGGTCTCCATCAGAACTACCTCCACTAGTGCTTGGACTGTCATCAACTCTTTGTGCCTCCGTGGACATTTTAGATCCTGGATTAAACAATGAAAAGTCATTTATTCAATTGTCAAAAGAACTGCAGTATCAGAAATACACAGTCATCCTCAAAGTGGAGTATGTAAGGTTAAACATAAAATGAGTAAGTTGTTCATTTACATTAACAGCTTTGGGAGCTGCCAAAACTTTTCATTTATTCAAAATGTATTAACAGAAATGAAAACACACAAAATTTTCATAGCAACGTTAGAGGAAAAAAGAGAAAACAACATAAATGTCCACAAATTGATAATGGACAAAGCAAATGCGGTATAGCCACACTGGGGAATATCATTCGGCTATGCTAGAAAGTACAGTATATACCTGCTACAACATGGATGAACTCCGGAAATATTTCAAAGCATGAAAGAAGTTAGTCACAGAGGAACATACCCTATTCGATTCTATTTATACGAACTGTCCAGAAGATGCTAATACACAAAGACAAAAAAGCTAGAAGTGAGGAAAGAATGGGAAGGGACTGCTAAGAGGCAGTTTCCTTTTGTGGTGATGAAAATTTTCTTAAACTAGACAACAATGATGTTACACAACTCTAAACATTCTATAAACCACTAAGATATACATTTTAAAGATTGATTTATTTATCAATCATACAAGAACTGGGTACAGGCTAGAGGTGTGGGGGTTGAGAGGATTCACCAGAGACAGAGTGGGGAACAGAACAGGCAGACTGACTGAAATACACTGCTGAGGGGAGCAGCAGGCGAGACAGGAAAGGTCTGCTGAGCCATGTGGGTCAGCTCCCTGGCAGGGGATCCTTGCTGTGGCGGCAGTGGATAGCTTCATAGTGCTGAGACTTAACCCCTTGTGCCACCAGGGAGGCCCAGGTTGTACATTTTAAAAGCCTGGATTTTAGAGTATGTGAATTACATCTCAATCAAGTTATCAAAAACAAAATAAAAGTGAGGGCTTATTTTCCACCCACTCTGTCTAGGCAGGCGCAAGAAATTCAGTCTAGTGGATAAGCAAACATGCTAAGTGCTATAACAGAGGTTAGTAAAAATTGCCACAGGAACAGAAAAATGGGAGACACTCTTGCATTTATAGTCAATAATACATCCTCAGCACTGGGTTAGGTTAAATCCCTCTAAATGAGTCCTGTTTTAAGTTACCTTTGCCAGAACCGAACACAGAAGCCTGTGAGATTCTAAATAAAATCTGAACCATATAATAGTGCCAGCACTGAACCAGCAATATACCAAGCAGCCATGTTTCACAAGAGATGGCAATTGTATTGAGATACTGAAAGATTTTTTCTTCCCCAGTCTGGATGAACCATCCCTCCAGGCTTTCAAATTCCCTTTGCTCTGAGCTCATGCTCCCCAAGTAGCTCTGATTACCAACTCAATTTCCTCAATACCTTGATACACTGGTACCTATTATAACTTAGATAGCAGACAAAAAATCCCAGCAAGTGAAAAGGTATCTCCTTTCAACTGTCACTCTAGCATCAATCTCTGAATTTGAATACTATGTTCACAACCCTTATGACCCAACTAGCTTATAGTGTACCGACAAATCCAAAAACCAAACTGACAAAACAGATGTCTAGACACTAAAAGGGCCCTGTGCTCACTATGTTACTGTCACCTAATAACTACCTTGAGCACCTGTAGCTACCTTCTGAGGCACCTATTTAAAAACAAAACAAAAGAAAACTTTTATTTAAGAAGCAACAACACAAAATAGATCTATAAAGATCAGATCTAAATGGAAAAAATTTCTTTTAAAAAAAGACTATATCACTCAATCAAATTAAGACTTATATAAAGAAAGATACCTCAAATGAAACAATGATTTTTATTACTATAATTATTCTAAATGTATAGCTAGTTGATACTGATGAAAATTCATCATAGACCTATAATGAATGGGTTGAAAGTTTTATGGTAAGACAAACCAAAAGTACTTCAAGAACATGGAAGAATCAAGGAAGCAGAGAGAATCAATACAAAATACTGAATGCCTTCAATAGATACCCGCCCACACACACACTAGCAACACCTTCTGAACCCCAACACCATGCCCATGACAGACAAAAGCAGGTCTCCCCCTACAGCTCTGAAACAAAACTAACAGCAAAATGTGACTGCTTTTCCACCTACTCTGTAAGTGGAGAGCATCAGTCTCCACAGCTGTGACATCTTTTATGAGCACTAAAGTGACTTAATAGAACACTGAAATTTTATATCAGTGTATTTCATACCTAGCTCTAACATATTCCTTGGTTTCTTTTTTACATTTATTTCACTTTCTCATCCTTGGATTTAACATTATTTTTTCAGCTTACATTTTTCAGAAGTGTAAACCTTTTGAGTATGGACATAAGAGCATGTTAGATAAAGCAGATGTGCATGGGAGTAAAAATGGCAATTCTCAAAGAAAGGCCCTCAGATATAGTAAAATGCCAACAGTAATATTTTAAGAAATTGAACTGTGCAAGAAGTCATTTTTTACATCTTAAACCAGAAGTAACACAGTATATAACAAATATAGGGAAACCTTAAGGAAATAAAATTCTCTTTTACTGGAGCTTAGCTTAATAAGCTATGCTAAAAGTTACAGTTGTATATACATTAGATATAAAGCCACACTTTCTTCTTAATATTTTTATTTATGTGAATTTATATACTATCTGATAATGCTGTGAGTGTAAATACTAAGATACTACTCAATGATGTCATGATGTAATATGAAATCCAAATTTCATAACCAGCTCCAGGATATCAGAAGATTAAAATCAGTCTGATCTGAGAACTAGTAAAAATACTATTAAAAATAACCAAATAGAAGTATAATTTCTATACCTTCACAGTAATTTATTTACATAAATGCCCTAAAATATTTTATTGTGCCCAAAATATTAACCTACAGATGACAAAATTTTATGAGGCCACTAATAGCCATCCATTATAAAAACTTTGAGAAACTAAGTTTTCATTTATCTTTTTCAAATATTAGAAGGGAAATTTCTGCTGGTTTTGTTTCTTGAATCTGATTCAGAAAAAGTTAGGGGGAAGTTTATTGCACCATTCAGGAAGGAACTAGTATTTATGAAAAAGTAGTCTGTACGACATTTTAATTAGTTGTGAGTATAAAATTTGTGTTTTATATATCTAAAGTACAAATGAATAGAAATTTCAGATATAAAATGGTTTAAATGTTATCTTCTAAATCAGCATTTTAAAATTATCTTTGAGATTAATTCATCAATAATTAATCTGACCGAGCTATCTCATTTAGAAGGAAGATAAATCTCAGGGTTATAAACAGAGCTACTCTGCAATGATAGTTTCAAAGATATCTTAACTTCTATTTTTACTTTGGATGCAAACTTGGTTTCTAAACATAAAATAGTAAAGAAATTTTTTTCCCCAAATATGTATAAATGAAGATTTTAGGTACCGTCTTCGACACAGAAATTGTTTAATGTATTAGTTATGTACTCTTTTGTAAATTACAGTCCTGGAAATTAGCAACCTAGAGTAAATGAAATTCACATGTTCCATAAAAACAAATGATATTGCTATTAATATTACTGATAACATTAAAGCAACTATAACTACTCTGCATATCCGGACTACTGTCCAGATAAGCCTTAAATAACTATCTCATGTAGTATAAAACTGAACAAGCAAGTGTTCATTTGAGGTGATACATCAGAAAAACGCTTCATTCTGTCATGTGCTTTCTCGCTATTTGTCTTTCTACTCACATTTCTGAACTTTTGTAAATCGTAGGATAATTTATATTATATGCACAACTGATAGCAATATTCAGTTTTTAACTTTACTGCAAAGGTATTTATCCATGAAAGAACAGTGGAACAGCCGGTTTTCCAGAAAAAGGTGGTTAAGTCCTGGGAAAGACTGACTGGGGCATAACATTAAATGAACACACTTCCTCATCAGCATCTGCCCACATGCAAAACTCTGAGGAGCCAAGGCGCAACCAAACTGTCAAGTAAACACACATATTCAGATTCCCAAGGTTCAAACTGAATTACCACATATTCAAAAATCACACACTTCAAAGAATCTGCGATTAAAAAAAAAAAAAACTAAGAAGAGCTTAAAACCTTTCTGAAGAGCAAAATCACCTTAAAGTCAACCCTAGTACTTCCTTCTGTATTTTCAAATAAAAACATTTGCGTAGACTTCCCACACACAATACAAAACGATGAATCTTGAAAACATGCAAATAGGTCTAACAGCCACCGAGTACAAGATGATGTCTTCCTAAAGCGGCCTTAATTTCCTTAAGGGAAGATGGATTGGACATTTCTGGCTGGTCATGGGGTGGGGGGGTGGGGAGGGGTTAGCCATGAGAAGCTACGCTTTATCTTCATTAGAAATGGTAAAGGGCAAAAGGCTCAAAACATTATGAGAGAAGCGAGAGAGGAGGGGATTCGGGGGACGCGTGAGAGGGAATCCAGTTTCCAACCAGGCCAGTGGAGGAGGCTGCAGACACCGGAGAAAAATGGGTTTCGGCTCCAAACAGTGACAAGCGCAAGGCTTCACAAAAGACCAGGACAACTCCCCCCACCCCCCGCGCGCACGCACACACACACAACCACACACACAACCACACAACCACACACACAACCACACACAACCACACACAACCACACACACCCCGGGGCGCACCCAAACACACCCCACAAGGTCTTCTCCAGGCGGGCCACGGGGTGCCGCGCGGCGGGAGGGGAGCCAGCCCCGGCGCTCGCCAGGAGAGACACCATGTGCAGCAATTATGCAATTAGGGAAAATAGCAAAAGATCAAGCCGGGCACTTTCCACAGTGACATTTATCCTGTACTTTTGCAAAGACTTAGTTCCAGGATGCGGCTGGGAGAGGCAAGAAGGGGCCGGGAGGGTGGCGAGGGATGGGGAACTGAGAACGGAAGAGGGGACAAGATGGGCAGGGAAGGAAGAGGCAGGAGGGGGTGGCTGGAAGGGAGGGGGAGGGGTGGAAAGGGCGAGAAACCGGGGCAGGAGGCTCGCGGGAGGGGGGCGCCGGGAATGGGGCACTCCGGGGAGTCGGAGGGAGGAAACTAGGGCGCAAACGGTGCGAGCTGAGACCTGCGGCGAAGGGGGGCGGAGGGGGGCGGAGGGGGGCGGAGGGGGCGGGGGGGGCGGAGGGGGCGCGCGAGGGGGGTTGCCCGCGGCTGGGGGGGCTGAGGGGGCTGTGGGGGTGGGGGGAGGGGGTGGGCACCGGCGCGGCGCGGCGCGGCCCGGCCGGGCGATTACCTGAGGGAGGGGCGTCAGCACAGGTCGCGGGCTCGAGCCCCAGCCCCGGGGAGAGGGGGCGGCGAAGGCGCGGGGTGCGGGGGGAGGGGAGTTGGGGAGGCCCCGGGGACGGGGTGTCCTCGCAGACCGTCCAGCCCCCCAGAGCCGGACCCACGCACCACGCGCCGGGCTGCCCGGCTCCGCCTGTCCCCGCCGCGTCGCGCCCGCCCGGACTCACCCTCAGCGCGGCCGCCGCCGCCCCCGGCCGTTCCGGCTCCGGCTCCCGAGGCTGCTGCCCGCGGCTGCCGCTGTGGCCGCCCCTGAGTCTTGGAAAGTGAAGCCGCCGCCTCCGACAGGCTCCGCCGCCGCCCGGCCGTCCGCGCGCGCGCCCGCGAGAGCGCGCGCCCGCCGGAGAGACCGCGAGAGCGCGAGCCCCACGTCGGCCGCGCCGCGCCGCGCCGCGCGCCTCCGGCCCCCCGCCCCCACCCGCCCCGCCCCTCCTCCTCCTCCTCCTCCTCCTCCTCCTCCCCCTCCCCGCGCGCGCGCGGCCGCGAGGGGGCGGGGGCGGGCGCGCGCCCGGGCCGGCCGCCCCGCCGGCCGGCTGAGGGGCCGCGAGGCCGCGCGGAAAAGTAAAGTGGCAAACGAGTTTCACGGGCTGGCACGGGGGGGGGGGCCGGGGGCGTCCCGCGGAAAAAGGACGGCGGGGACGGGGAGAGGTGAGGGAAACGGAGGCTGATGGGGCGGCCTGAGGGAGGGGACGCGGGGACCTTGACGGGCACGCGCATTAAAGGGAAACGCTGGCTGGGGGGGTGCGGGGGGGGGGGCGAGTGGCCTCAGGACCACGCTGAGGGGGGGCGTTCTGCCCCCGGCCGCTGCACCCCTAAGCGTCACACTTGCCGCTTAGCTTTCGCGAGGAGTTGCTGGTGCTGACCCTTTTGGCACACTCACCAGAACGTGGTGCCCACATGCACCCAAGATGGGGAAACTTCTCATTGGCCTAGAAAGTTCGCCCACTTGGAGCCTGACTTTTCACCTGACTCCGCAACGCCCAGGTCCTTTGGCCTTTTAGCTCTCCAAGGCCCAGAGTGCGCACTGGAAACCTGCAGCTCCAGGCCACTGAACTGTAGATGTTGTGGAGAAAGTTTGGGGAGACAGTAGGTACCTTACTGCCCAGTTGAAGGGTGTGGGAACCAGGACATTCTGTGGGAGACGCAAGGGAATGAGAGGTTCCCTGTAATCTTCACCTTAAATAATAATTAGAATACATTAACCTATGATATGCAAACTCGGCTTTCACAGTGTCCCCCACCTTCTCTTCTACCTTAGCCTCTTCCAAACTGATGCTCTTGCTGCTCTGATATCTCCCCAGTGTAGAGACTCTGGAGCTGTCACTGAAAGTGGAGTGTCTTGTTCAGACAGAGCCAAAAACAATCCTGCGATGTCCAAAGCTATTTAGGAAGCCTAAAGAAATTGTACAAGGAAGATCCTACCTGATGGAAGCAGCAAGATCTGTATGTATGTCTAGAATTGAAAATTCTTTTGTCAGATGCCTTCCTCAAGATTTAACTACAACATCCCTGAAAATTCCAAAGCATGGATTGATTTGTAGCCTTCCTAAATCACAGTTGTGCAAAAGAAAGTGGTGGATTCTTGAATATTACCTTTATGGATCAGGGATATCAACAGGTTCTGTTATTATTTTTTAAAGATTTATTTATTTTTATAGAAGAATTGGGGTACAGGCCAGAGATGTGGGGGGTGAGAGGATTCACCAGAGACAGAGCAGGTAACAGAACAGGCAGACAGACCGAAGAAGTACACTGCTGAGGAGAGCAGCAGGTGAGAGAGGAGAAGTCTGTCCCACCATGTGGGTTTCTCCCTGGTGGGCAGGAACCGAACTCATGCTGTAGAGGCTGCAGAGGCTGCAGATTGCTCCATAGGCTGCGTGTTAACCCCTGCGCCACCAGGGAGGCCCGGCCCTGTTATTATTAAACTTAAAATACATGGTGAAGGATTTGAAATTAGCATATCCTGGGACTATCACTTAAATAGACATCTATCACTCACATGGTACAATATATTAGCAGGAAAAGATACCAAATGCATCATATTTGCTTTTTAATATTTTAGAATATGGCCAAAATAGAGCATTTCACAGACTGCCTTAATGTCTGCGTTAAGGTAGTCTACAAAATGAAACCTTTATATATTAATATTTTCATTTTACTGATTGTTTCAATGTGTTTTGCAACTATTTCGTGAAGATAGATGACAATCCCCATTTCCTCGGTCTCTACTTTTCTACAAATAAACTATTCATATACCCTTAGGTGTATATCCTATTGGCTTTTCCATGAATATTTTATAACAAAGTGCTTTTCTTTTACAGGAAGTATCAAAGTTGTGTTTTAGTCCTAGTCATTGGCAGTTAGGGCCCAGTGATGGAACAATGTCAACTTGCAACTTTATGAAAGGATTAGAGGGATAGTGTGAATGCTGAGAATGTAGTTCATAGTATGAATGCTGAGAATATAGTCACTGCAGTAGTTGGTGTTCTATTATGTGCTATTAACTAATTTTAAGAAGGCCATAATACAAGTCAGTTACCTTTTTCGCTGATTCAAGGAATATTTATTGAGTACTAGGCACAGTCTAGGAGGTTGGGTTATAACATTGAGTACAGGAAGAAAACCTCAGTTTCTACAGACCTTCCCTGACCTTGACCCTTCTTTTTGTCTTACACACTTCACCAAATTCATCACCAAATTCTGTTGACTCTGCCCTCAAAAATATATCCTGTAAGTGTCCATTTCCTTCCTCTTTTCTCCCATAGCTAATAGCCTGGTCCAAACCACCATCATCTCTCATTCTTCTACTTCCCTTAATCCCCAGCCCCCCACATAACAGTCTGAATGATCCTTTAAAATGTAGGTTATGGTATGTTTTTCCTCTTCTTAAAACCACCAATGGCTTCTCAATCTAGAGTAACAACCAAACTTCCTGCAATGATTACATGGTCTACCTGCCACCCCCAAGGAAAATCTCTCTGGTCTCACACTGTGTGACTCTATCCCATCTTCACATCTTTCCAGCTACACTAGCCTCCTTGTGTTATGGAACACCCCAATGTTTTTTGGCCTCCAGACTCTGACTTATAATTTCCTTTCTCTAGGACATTCTTTCCTCCCACCTCTCCCCTAGCACTTTCTTTCTTTTCTTTTTTTTTTTTTTTTTTTGGTAAAGATTTACTTATTTATGCATACAAAAACTGGGGTGTAGGCCAGGGGTGTGTGGGGGTGTGTGTGTGTGTGAGAGAGAGTATTCACCAGAGACAGAGTGAGGAGCAGAACAGGCAGATCTACTGAAACACTGCTGAGCAGAGCAGCGGGCAAAACAGGAGAGGCCTGCTGGGCCACGTGATTTAGCTCCCTGACTGGGGATTGAACTCAAGTTGCAGTGGCTGGCAATAGCTTGATAGCACTGAGACTTTAACCCCTGCGCCACCAGGGGGGCCCTCCCCCAGCACTTTCTGTTCCCCATCTCTGCTTTGTTTATATTTATGATCATCATAATAAATCTGACATATTTTTGCTTGTTTATTTTAGTTTTGCTTGTTTACCCTTCTCACCCCTTTCCCTCCTTCCTCCACATATAAGCACCTTGAGAACAGGATTTTCTTGGCTGGGGTTCATTGCTATATCTATTCAATAAAAACTGGTTCAGTGAATGAAATTAACCTCTTTCAGTTGACGGCATAATAGACATTGTTCTAATTTTGTCAATAATAATAATTGGCACTTATTGTGTTCTTAATTTGGACCAGGCAAAGTGCTAGCATTGTACATGCACTCACAGACACCGCATGAGGATGGTCTGTCTCATTCAGACCAACCTCACTGTACAGATGATAGTACAGAAGTGCAGAGAGATTTAGTTACGTTCACTACCATGCAGCTGGAGAATAGCAGAAGTGGGACTTGAAATCAGCAGTTGGGCTCTGGAATCTCTGAACTTCAGGACACTATAGAATGAGTCCAGTGTTGCAAACGTAGATTGTACTTGAATTTCTCAGTTCCTCTCCCCCTGAGACTCAAACTTGGTCTCTAAAACAAATAACTTACTTTCCTTGAATTTCCTGCTCTAGTCTATCAATCTGTCGTCAGGAACTTGCTCTGTCCTTTCCTATGCTTCTTATTTCTGAGCTTTAATATAGAGCCTGCATTTTTTTTCTCCTACAATTGGCAGATGAGATTTTTTTTTTTTTAGGGCCCTTCTTATAACTTGTGTTACTGCCAATTTTATGAGTAGATAGAGTCACAATTAGTTTTCCAGTTTGACTGAAAGGTGAAAGCACCTCTCTGGGAGTAAATGGACTGAACTTTAACAAAATGGATCATACTAGTAGAGCTGGTGCTCATTTAAGTAGCTTTCATTCTTGCTGGGTACATGATAATCAGAGGTTGTTAAAAATTTGGGTTGCCCCCCTCCCCAGAAGAAATGTCATATTGGCTTAAGTTCATCAAAGATTAGCACCCTGAGAAAATGAGATGGAAGACAGTAATCTTTTTTGCTTACAGCCTGGTTTGAAAGGGATTGTAGATGCCCTGTTTTCACTCTGAATGCTTTGAATACTTAAGAAGGACAACACTGATATGGGAAAATTGAAGCCTCATTACAGCTGATATAATAGGGACCCATTACCTAGTATGTACCAACACAGAATCATTCTCTAATTCCCAATGTCTCTCTCTCTCTCTTCTACCTTCTCTCTCTCTCTTCTCCCCCTCCCTCCTTCCCTCTCTCTGAGGCTAGAAGCCATATTGTGAGCATCCCTAAGGAGCAGCCCATGTGGCTAGAAACAGGTCTAAACTGACACCCCCATGCATGAGCTCTGAAGCAGAGTCTTCTGCCTTAACTAAGCCTTCAAATGATGCAAACCTGTTCAACATCTTCACTATAACCACAGGAAAAACCCTGAGCTGGAAACACCCAGCTGAGCCATCCTTTTGCCTTGTCATAAATGTTTGTTGTTTTTAGTCACTAAGTTTTTAGAGGATTTGTCATGCATCAATACATAATTAATATACATCTTCTTTACTGTCTAATGACGATGTTCCCTCAAGTCCTTTGCATATCAAGGGTACTACTGCTGAGTAGTTCCTGCCAGGCAGAGTCCTACTCCTAAAATGAGTGGTTGCATCCAACCTCCTAGAAATACAGAGGGATTTAAGTAGCTGCTGAGTATGGATGAAGGGTCTGAAGAGAGCAAGAATAATGGCATGTAAGAGGGATTTATTGAGCAGTGGAGCAATAAATTGTAGATGAGATTTTCTGTTATAATTACACATTATTTGTACAATAAATTAAAATATTTGAAACTTAGGGAAACCTCAGAAGGAAACAAAGACAGAAGGAGGGAAGCCTTGCCCTAATTTGTACCTTTCTTAAGCAGTCCAGAGATGCTTTGAAACTGGGCTGTCTGGTTCCATGACCCTGGTTCTACTTCTTTCTTGCAGTGATCCCTGGGCAAGTTACTTAACTCCTTGCTGACTCAGATTCCTTGTTTACTAATGGGACTTATTTAAATAGTTAATAACTTATGTAGGTAACTTTACCAAGGGCACGCACAACTAGCTGCTTCTTAACTCGTGTTGCAGAATATCAATGATATACATGAGGTGTGTGTATATAAATATATTTGTATAGCATATAGACAACATATTTTCAATTTGAGTCAAAATTTATAATTTGCATTGAATGAATTATAAAAATTGTTTCGTGAATATTATCAACAACTACATTCTGATTTGTAGACTACATTTTCATTACTGAAATTTTGTGGCGGATTACACTGTTACTGCTAAATTATGTGAGTACTTTCAAATTATGTGAGTACTGCTAAATTATGTGAGTACTGTCACACTAATAGTATAAGCATAGTAATGAATTTTCTTAATTCAACCTAAAACTTATAATTAAGCCATCCACACCACTTAGTTTTCTTCTCTTCCACTAACATGAAACATTTTTGATTTGTTATCTTCTGTTTCTTATTCTATGCTCTCATCTCTTAGTCATAGAATCATATAGGTGAGGACAGAAAGGTGAAAGGAAAGACAGGGCCACAGCTCGAGTCTAATCTGTCTTCATTCAGGATTCAGACTGTCAGAACGTCACTACCGAGGTTGTAGAGCAAGCCCCAAGGAGAACGAGGGAGATTTAGATGAGGGACCAAGTAGTATCCTGAGAATATCAGACTCTAAGTGAAAAAAGAGAAGGGAGACCTAGGAGATTTGCTTGAACATAATGACCAATCACTCTGGAGAAAGGCAGTTGAAAGGAAAATGTAAAATCTGTTACTCCCTGAATTTTCCTACTCAGTTCCTGTAGACTTTTCTTAAATCCAAAGGAAAGAATATCTGTGACTTGAAATTAACAGATATTTGTTCATAAAATCTATTTGGCACCACGGGGTCCTGCCTTGACAGCAGTGGCACAGTATAACACAAAA